GCTATGGGTCGGCACCGACTCGAGGGCACTTAACAACAACAACAACAACAGTCAGCAGTCCACACTCTAGGTCAATTCTATAGTCTGTTCTACTGAGGAGCTAAGAATCAGAATCAACTGAACAGCAGTGGGTGGGGCACTTAGCTACTGAAAATGTGAAAAGGCAAAACAGTATTTAGTAAACTGAAACTTAGCCATCAATATTCTTCCTCATAGCCAAGAGCAGGCGCCACTAGTGTTCTTATGGCGCAGGCAGTCAGCTGACTAGCAAAGGCAATTCTCCTCTGGGGTCATTCTCCTGCTGCTCCTAGTCCTCTGCTTTCCCAGCTCCTCAGTCTGCCTCAGCCTAAGCATACAGGCATTTGAGAGCTCAAAGGCAACTGTGCTCTCTACCTCTCCCCCACCTCCATAATAAAGACACCAGCCACGTCCTCCTCTTGCCTTTAGGGTCAAGGTCATTGATCCCAATTTCTACTGCTGATGCCGACTCAATTCTGACTCAAGGTGACCCTACATACTGCAGAGCTGAACTGCTCTCAGGAGGTTTCAAGGCTGTGGACTTTTGGATGCAGGTTGCCAGGTCTTTCTTCCAAGGTGCATCTGAGTGGGTTCAAACTTTTGATTTAGAATAGTTGAGTACCTAATTGTGCCACTCGGATGCCTGAACCTTATTTCCATTAATATATTCAACAAGCTACCAAAACTGAACATATCCGACATAAAATTTACATCTGTACCTGTCATATACTTAAGCAAAAAATGTACAGGCCATCCCAAAGGAGACTTTAGCATGCTGCTCTTCCCCACCCCTTGTCAGTTTATCACAGGAAGCTCTCTAATCTGTCTCTCCTGTTTTTATTACCAACACCCTCTAGGCCTCCTCTTCCCTGACATAGTCCCTGGCAACTGGATCCAGCCTTGCACACTTCTTCCTCCACTGCCAGAAAAAAGCTTTCCCTAATGCTCCTTGGAAACGCTATACAGCGTCTCTATGGGTCGGAATTGACTCAACAGCACTTAACAACAACAACAACAATGTGTAAATTTGATATCCTCTCCTTACTTCAAATCTCCCACCTCTCTCCCATCCTGGGCTAGGGGACACAGGCCAGTCTCATTGTTCTCTTCCTACACTGCATTAAGAACAAGTTCTCTTGCCAGTCAAAGTCACACTACGCTTCCAGACCTGACACGCTTTTCCAATTGGTTCCTGGATCAACTACCCTCCTTTTCCCCAAAACACCTCCTCCTCATTCTGGTTCCTGCAGCCTTTCTGAAATTATCAAAATTTCCAGTTCTGGTTCCTCACAAAATGGGTACTCAAAAATTGAAATTCGGAGTCAGTTACTTTACAACATTATTCAAACTACAAGGTGGACTCCCATTAAAGCAGAACTCCAGGACAACTGGTTTCTGTGGCCCTGAAGTCACTGCATTCATGGTATAAAGCTTGCAATAAACTTAACTATTCCTTTGAGAGTCTTTATGTGTGAAAACTGGGCTAATGCATCAGACTTCAAAGTCCTCTGAACTGCAAGGTCAGTGGCTCAAGCTCACCAGCTGCTCCTTGGAAACCCTATACATGGTCACTGTGGGTCGGAACCAACTTGACGGCACTTGTCAACAACACACTAGCAGAGTAGCTCTGTAGGATAAACAATGCTCCCACAAAGCAATGCTCTCAGCCTCAGAAATCCTATCTAGGGCTATTAGGAGTTGGAATAGACTCGCAAGCTCTTAACAGCAAGAACATACAAGCCAAAAGTTACAAAGAAGAGCAAAAAAGTGTGACATCATCAGAGGATACAGTCTGTAGTCTGAGTTTTAAAATATCAATATCATTTATTAAGCACTTGGTGTGGTGCTGTGGGTAATGTGTCAGAATGCAAAATTGTTTGAACTGCAAGGTTGGTGGTTAAAGCTCACCAGCTCCTCCTTAAAAACCCTACAGAGGGTTGCTATGGGTCAGGATTGACTCCACGGCACTTAACAACAATGTGCCACATACTTTTCATACCACAGTCTTCTCAAAACCTTAAAATATGGATATAAGTCCCATTTTACGATAGAGAAAAGTGGGAATTACAAGTCACAGAGTTAGCAAATGATTGAGACTAAAATGTTTCCTATGTTTTCTCTAATAGACAAGGACCCCGCTCCCGTCCCTACTCAATCTACTCACTACTGAAAACACTCACCACATCCGCCTCCCTCCTTCATCTAGCATGCCAACCACACAATACCACACAATATCTATAAAGAACTGGAAAACTACACCCTAGATTCATATACCCAAGGGTCCGTGGGTGACACTTAAGTACTAACAAAACACTTAGTGGGTCACACCTAACCACAGGTGTCTTGGAAGACAGGCCTGGCAATTTACTTCTTCAAGGTCACACTCTTGAGCACTCGATAGAGCAACCCCCTTTGAACATGCAGGGTACTCCCTGAGTCGGAATTGATTCACTGGCAACTGACAGATTTACATACAGAACTGTTGTTGTCATAGCAACCCAAGGTGACTGACTAGAACCACCCCATAGGATTTTCGGCATTTCACAACAATGTTTACAGAAGCAGATCACCAGGTCTTTTCTCCTTTACAGCTATTTGGTGGGCTGAAACCCCAATCTTTCATTCGTTGTTGCTGTCCATTTCGATTCAGAGTGACCCTGTATAGGGTTTCCAAGGAGCTACTGGTGAATTTGAACCACCAACCTTGTGTCTAGAAGTCCAGTGCTTTTCCTATAGCACCACACTAGGGTTAGTATTCGTCAGTAAAGCAACCTTAGACAAAATCAGATTGAAGACCTTCCAGTATGATCTCTGTGTGTATGTGTGTGTTTTAGTCTCACTTGGAAATCACCAGAAATGTTTTAATAATCCTTCATTTTCAAGTGAATTTCATTTGATGCCAAAGATTCAAAATAAGATTACATGTAATATCCCTGCAGATGTTCTGTCTCTAAAAATGGTCTCCACTAACAAATGCTCTCAAAATTGTGTCATCATATAAACAAAGTAATGGCTAAACAGATAGTATTTTTGCAATATCAGGGATTTCATTAGTTTGATATAATTAATCATTTCAATTATTTGCTACTGTTTGACAATATAGACCATAATTTTACAATATTTTCTGACAGAGGTACTGACAGATACAAATTATAACAATCTTAGCAACTGAAATCAATCCTGTCAATCTATCTCGTTTTCAATTTCCATCAACCTCTATATCTCTAGGGAGTGCGGTGGCTCCATACAGTAAGCGCAGGACTGCGAACCACAAAGTCTGCGGTTCGGAGGGAAAGGAGGTGCTTGTGGTATCTTAAACACCAAAACTATGTTACTCACCACATTAAAGTTGATATGAGAAGACCAACGCCTACACAATCTATGAATACAACCCAAAGGAGCAGTTTTATCGTCTCAAAGAATCCCATGTCCAGCACAAAGCCAAATCCTATGGTGGACACTGAAAGAAAGATTTACAAGATGTATTGAGGCACTGTGCTAGATTCTGGGGATACAGGGCACAGCTTGTGCCCTCCAGGCGTCTGACAGTCTGGTGCAGGAGACAGACCCCAAATCTCAAAGATGTATTATACTTAATGGAGACAGAAATGCATTCCATCTTTGAACAGAGAATGGCCCGAGTACTACTTAAGAGGGCCCTGGCTTGGCCAATTCACCCCAGTATAGAGAACAGCACCAATACAGAGAAGACGCTCACATAGTCTGACTCCAATTAAAGGGGGGAATTTCTACATACCTCAACACCCTAATGGTGGTTAGAACTCTTTCACCACATTGCTGAGAACTTACAAGTAGTATCTCAAGTTCACATCAGTCTTGCAGAACTCTCTCACTCTGGGTTTGTCTAACTGTGAGATGTAATGTCTAACCTCAATATTCCTCTTAACAGCAAGCTGGCATTTGGGAACCACTTTATGTATCATACTAGCTAAAAGACATGGAGTGAAATCTGCTCTAAGCTTTGAAAAGACCTGCAGAAATCAGGAAAAATAACTTTCTTTCCTCTGAGTTTTCTGAGACTTCAAAAAGAACCTCCAAACACCCCTCAAATTCTGACCCACAATGCATTTATAACAAAAACTCTTCTAAAGGACAAATAACAATCCATAACACTTAATATGCTCTTCAGCTGTACTGCAGATAAACCAACACTTACCACATAGCCAGATACTCAACAGGACCAAAAAAGCAGGATCATCTCTGGCCCACTGGTCCTTTGTCTGCTTTCGATAATGAAAGTTTCTATAAACCCTCTGTGGCGATGTGAACAGGTAGAGCATCTGCCAGCCAGCAAACTCAAAGTCCATCTGCCGAAAACGAAAAAGCCTTCGCAAGTACTTGTAGCGTTTTGCTCCAGCAGTATGTCGTGCTGCATCTCGGGAATTCAAGGCACCATTCCCTTGCACTCGGGAATTCACTGAAATACTTGGTAACATCTTCCTAAACAGGAGGGGGGAAAAATCTCTTATACAAATAATATGAAGAAATTCTTAGCTACTAGCACACCTCTTTCTTCCTAGTTACTGAATAGCAGGGAAGTCACTTTACACTGTCATTTCGAATCCTCAGAGGGCAAGTGCCCAAAGTGAAAGGGCCTGTTCTAAGACTTGTTATTACAATGGCAGCACCACGCTCAGGGTAATAGCGCTTCACTGTGTCCTCAAATAGCCACAGGAAGCTCTTGATAGTAGGGAGAAAAAAACAGAGGCACTGGGTGGGGGAAAATAACACCCCACAATCACAGAGATAGTGATGGAGCCACGATTCCAATTTAGTCTGGTTCTAAATTCAAGGCTCTTAAATTCGCTATGGAGTCCTGGTGTGGCGCTGTGGGTTAATGAGCCAGACTACAAAGCCCTTTGAACTGCAAGGTCGGTGGTTCAAACTCACCAGCTGCCCCTCGGAAACCCTATACAGGGTCACTGTGGGTCGGAACCGGTTCGCTGGAACTTAACAACAAGGCACTTTAGGAGTGCTGGTATGGCGCTGTGGGTTAATGCGCCAGAATGCAATGTCGGCAGTCCAAGCTCACTAGCTGCTGCTCCTCAGAAACCCTATACAGGGTAGCTATGGGCCGGAACCGACTCGACGGCATTTAACAACAACAAACAAACTACCAAGCCATTAAGGAAAAGCCTATAAGCTGAGCAGACAATGCAAAAGAGATGGCCTATTCACGAAAGCCAAGGGAGTATGGTCAGCAAGCTCCTCCTTCACTAGAATATGGCCCAGACACAAAGCTCTGTTCAGATGCCTAGTGCGGCTCCCAGTTCAGCAGAAGGAATGACAGCGTGGGATCTGGGTCAGACCAGTCCCGAGGCCAGGCGAGTCCACTCCGCAGGCCCAGGCGCTCCCTGCCAGCTCAGATTTAGCAAACAAAATACAGAACGCCCATGGTAAATGTGAATTTCGTATAAGCAACAAATAACTTTTTGCCGAATTACTTCTCACGCAGTACTTCAGGAATACTTATTCTAAAAACTTTATTGTTCATCTGAATTTCAAATTTAATTGGGCGTTCTTCATCAGGCAACCTTGCCCACGGGCCAAGGAACCGGAACCGGGGCATGGTCACTCCCCGGCCGCGGTGACGTCGGGCCGCGAGCTGCCAAAGGAAACGGCGCCCGGCGCAATAACGAGCCTCGCGCGGGTGGAGCGCTCCTCAGACCTCACCTGGAACCCTGCTGCGACCTGGACCCAGGAGCACTAGTCCGACACCTCTGCCCAGAAGCCAAGCGCAGCCGCCACCGCGGCTAACTTCCTTTCCCGCAACGTAGCCGGCGCTAGGGGTGTGTCTGCGTCACATGCGCCCACTTCCGCTGACGCGCGGCCTCTCGGGTTTTGTAGTCTCCCGGCCCTACCGCCGGAAGTTGTTGTTGCCGGTTTCCTGTACTTTCCGTCGCGGGTGGCTTGGCGGCCCACGGGGTAGCAGTGGCGGGCGACTGACGCGGGTAGAAGCCGGAGCGGTGGGCGGTCGTCGTCATGCCCCGATATTATGAGGACAAGCCAGAGGGCGGCGCTTGTGCCGGCGTGAAGGAGGACCTGGGCGCATGTCTGCTGCAGTCGGACTGTGTGCTCCAGGTAGTGCGGCGGGCTGCCGAGAGCTCGGGGTCCTAATGGCCCAAGCGGGGAGGCCGGGCTCAAAGGAGGGCTCCCCGTCGGCCCTGGGACGTGACTTCGAGTTAACCGTCCTGGGTGTAAAACACAGCTCCAGGTGTCTGAATTTAGGCAAATACAATGCTGTAATCTGTTTATGCCAGTTTGTAACCCACCTGAAAACTGTAGGGCCTCATTGTGGGAATCAATTAACAACAGCATTTAGTTCCCCAGGTTGGTTGGTGGGCACAGCCATGTTTGGGAATTACTAATGTTGATCTCGGAGTCCTGGTGTGGTGCTGTGGGTTAATGCACCAGACTGCAAAGCTGTTTGAACTGCAAAGTCGGTGGTTCAAGCTCACCAGCTGCTCCTCAGAAACCCATATACAGGGCCACTATGGGTCCGAACTAACTCAAAAGCATTTAACAACAACAATCTTGATCTCAGAAAGCAAAAAAATTGGGAGTATATTAGTTAGGCTGTAAGTTTAGCTACAGGGATGCAGAAAAAGTCTCCTAAACAAAATGGAGAATTCTCTTTTGAACCCAAAGTGTAGGCCCTGGGCAGCTCCATTCAATCTTCCATGGACCCCCAACACTGTTAATCTTGTTCCAGGTGCCGTGATGGAAAACAGGAAGTCGCTCTCATACACATAGTCCAAGAGTGACTTGCTTCCATGGCGTCTGACCTAGTGGTAGTGGTGGTGTGTCCTGGAGTCGGTTCCGACTCATAGCGACCCAGCATGGAATTTCCGCGGCTGTAAATCTGTACTGGATCAGGAAGCCTCATCTTTCTCTTGGAACGGCTGACCTTGAGGTTGTTAGCAGCCCCACTGGTAACCACTACCTACCAGAGCTCCTTGTTGTTGTTATGTGCCGTCGAGTCGGTTCTGACCCATAGCGGTTCCGAGGCTGTAAATCTATACGGGAGCAGAAAGCCTTTTCTTTCTCCGGCGAATCGGCTGATAGTTTCGAACTGCTGACCTTAATGTTGGCAGCCCGATTCGTAACCACTACGCTACTAGAGCTCCTTATCAGTCCTAATAGCCAACAAAAGAAACCAAACGCATTGCTGTGGAGTCTGTTGCAACCCATAATATGGAGTCAAGTGGAGAAAGGGGGCAGCCCTTGTTTCATTGAAGAGCCAGCCCAGAAGTTTTACACTTGAAATTCCCTCACATCCCATTGGTTAGAATTCAGTCAACAGCACCACACCTAGCTGCAAGTAGGGCTGGGAAATCTTGTCTAGCAAGGAGTTCTGGTGGCATAGCAGAGCTGCTAACAGCAAGGTCAGCAGTTCAAATTCACCAGCTGTTAAGCAGCTCTGAGGGAGAAAGATGAGACTTTCTGCTCCCTTAAACTCTATACAGGGTCACTATGAATCGGAACGGACTCGATGCCACACAGCCACCACCAACCACCATGTTATGGTTGTGTACCACTGGGTTGACTCAGGGCCCTTGTAGGTCACGGTAGAACAGCCCCTTAGTGTTTCCTAGGCTCTGGGAGCAGAGTGCTTATGAGTTGGGCTGCTAATCTCACGGTCAGCCGTTCTGCAGGAGAAAGAGGAGGCTTTCTGCTCCCGTAGAGATTTACAGCCTCAGAAACCCTAATTGTGTCGCTGTGTGTCAGAACCGACTCCATGGCACATAACCATCACCACCAATCTTCACTAGAGCAGATCACCAGTTCTTTACACTGCAGAGCAGCTGGCGGGTCCTACTTTTTGATTAGCAGCAGATGTTTTATCCAGCTAAAATGTAAGAGAGACTATTAAGAGACAAGTAGCAGTCTGCCATTTGGGTTGAAGGTGAAGATAGTAAAGTAATGCTTCTGTTAGGTTTAGTGTATCTTGCGAGAAATTTCTACCCGACAGGCTGAAAGTTTATGAAAAAAGTAGCATCTGAGATACAGCTTTGGGAGACATCACCATATATAGATGTCTTTTATCTGCCTCCGTCTTGCTCCTGTGGGCAGCACACCCCATCAGCTTTATCTCCTGAGGAGTTGGGGGCGTTTGTGGTAGTGCAGGGACGCCTAGTGAGGATCAGTTCTAGAGACGGCGATTGAAATATAGGACCAGGCACACGTAAAGACTAGAAAGCGGCCAAGAACAGATGTTAAGTGCAAAGAAAGAAGTAACACAGACCAGGTAGTAGGTATCTTTTTAATCCGGAAAAACTAGGGAATGTGACAGGCACTTGCAAAATAAAGGTTGTGGGGAGGGATTGCAATGGTGGGGGAGGGAGCCAACATCACCTGCTTGAAGGAAAATCCCTGATTATGCAGAGCAGGTGGAATTTGGGTTGCATCTTCCCTGCTTCTTGAATGAGCCAGATGGTTCTAGTTAAGTATTATTACTCTGTTGTTGCTAGTGACTGGAGTCAGTTCTGACTCATAGTGACATTGTATAGCAGGGGTGGGGAACGGGCCTTACATGTCCTGAGAAATCATTTGGTTTGGCCCTGTCGAGGCAATCACTGTGCCAACCATCACATTGGTGGTGCTGTGCCTGGAATTGGTTCTGATTCATAGTGACGCTTCATAGGATTTCTGAGGCTGTAAATCTTCATGGAAGCAGAAACCCTCATTTCTCTCCTGAAGAACAGTGGATAGTTTCCAACTGCTGATCTTGAGGTAACAGCTTGACTCATAACCACTATACTGCCAGAGCTCTAATCATCACATTGTTGTTGTTAGGTGCCATCGAGTTGGTACCGACTCATCGTGACCTTATGCACAGCATAACAAAACACTGCCTGATACTGGGCCAACCTCACTACTGTTGCCACGCTTGAGTCCATCGATGCTGCCACTTTGCCAGTCCATCTCGCTGGGGGTCTTCCTCTTTTTTTCTGACCCTCCACCTTACCAAACATGATATCCTTCTCTAGCAACTGGTCCCTACTGACAATATGTTCATAGTATGAGAGACAAAGCTTGGCCATCTTGGCCTCCAAGGAACACTTTGGCTGCACTTCTTCCGAAACGGATCTGTTGGTTCTTTTGGCAGCCCATGGTACTTTCAATATTCTCCAACACCATAACTCAAAAGCATCAATTCTTCTATGGTCTTCCTTATTTACTGTCCAGCTTTCACATGCATATGAGGTTATTGAAAATACCATGGCTTGGGTCAGGCACACCTTAGTCTTCAAGCTGACATCTTTGCTCTTCAACACTTTACAAAGTTCTTGTGCAGCAGATTTGCCCAATGCAATACATAGTTTGATTTCTTGACTGCTGCTTCCATGAGTGTTAATAGTTGATCCAAGAAGAATGAAGTCCTTGACAACTTCAGTCATTTCTCCGTTGATAATGTTGTTTACTGGTCCAGTGGTGAGGATTTTTGTTTTCTTTACATTGAGATGTAATCCATACCGAAGGCTGTGCTCTTTGATCTTCATCAGTAAATGTTTTAAGTCCACTTTCAGCAAGCAAGGTTGTATCATCTGCATATCGTAGGTTTAGAAATCAGTTAATTAAATGTTTGACCAAGTATAGCTGGCTACTTTTTAAGTTGATCATTTTTTATAGCCCACGAATGATGATACAAATTTTGGCAGAAAAAAGTTAACCTGCTACTGCTGTAACAGTTGCTAGTGAGTTTGAACCACTAACCTTACTCTTAGCAGTCCAGTGCTTGTCTTACAGCATCGCACCAGGACTCCACAAATGTTACTGTAGCCTACCTCATTGGCGGTTCCATTAAGTCTCTAGCATTAATACTAAAATGTTCTGATACTAAAACTTTAGGGCACCTTATCCTGGCTGAGGACTTCTGGTATGGCTATAGGATGAGCACTGAATTGTGAACTACAAGGACTGCAGTTCAAACCCACCAGCTGCTCCTTGGAAACTCTATACAGGGTTGCTGTGAGTCGGAAAAAACCTCGACAGCACTCAGCAAGAGCATCATGCAGGCTGTGTGAACTTTGAAAGTGATATTGAACAGGAGTAATGTTAGCCACAGACACATTGCTGGACCCATTTACACTGGAACACAGCTTGAGTAGGAAGGGTTCATGATCTTCCTTTATTTTGTCAAGTACTATCCAAGGATAATGTTCATAAAGGGTATGATTCTTTTATTACTTGGTGATGCTGGCTTTTAATTTTTAATTTGTGGCTTTTATTTTGTTTTGCGAATTGTAAATCGTAATTTGGTATCATTAAACCTCTGAGGTGAATAGAAATGTCAGAGGTCAGTCTGCTGTTTGCAGATGTTTCTCTGGGTATTCGCATCCCCAGGAAGCTGATCTTTTACTGCTCAGACCTTCGCCCACACCTGGGATGCTGCTTGTGCTACTAGTTAGTGTTTTCCTGTGTGCATCTTCCTTGCTACCTGATAGTAAAAGCCCTGAGTAGGCAGGAACTCAGTATTAGTATTTTTCACTAAGCCTGAGTGTTCTGAGCATCTTGTATATATTCATTCCATCAATTCACTTCCGTGAAGGCAGGTACAGGACAGATGGATAAGGGCGTGTTCAAAAAGAGGAGCTGCGCTGCCCTTCAGTTTTCGTTTTCATTTTACTCTTTGAATTGTGAATGTAAGCTGCCCCAGGTGTGTAGTATATGCACATTTTTAAAATTAAGTTTATACTGATTGTTCAAACTCTTCAAAGGTAAGAAAGAGGTAGATTTAGAATTTTTATTCCATGGTTAACATGAAAGAAAAATACTATACTTTAGCTCTTGCCTCGATTTTCAGTTAATATGATCACTTTGCTGCGAGTCAGAAGTACTGACTGTGAGTCAGAAGTGATGGTCCTGTCAGTCTTCTGTGAGCATCGTGCCTCAATGGCAGAAAGGGAACGGTTTGGTCCAGTGTTTCTCTTGAAACTTCCTTTGAGTTCTTACTGATTATTGTTAAGTGCTTTTGAGTCGGTGCCGACTCACAGCCACACTATAGAGTTTCCAAGGCTGGAAATCTGATTGGGAGCAGAAAGCCTTAACGTTCTCTCAGAGTGCCTGGTAAGCTAGAACTGCAAGGCTTGGAGTTGGCAGTCCAGTGTATCCTACAGAGCTGCCATGCTCCCTCCTATCACTGCTTAAAAATGAGTTAATTTTACATCTGACCCAGGCAGATCTCCTTCAAACTAGCATGGAAATGCTGTCAGCTCCCAGCTTCCCTCTTCCAGCTAGTATTCAGCTGAGGTCAGAATTGTAAACCTGACAGTGGGGGTTGGGAAAATTACTAGAAGGATAATATTTGAAACTTTAAAGTCTCTTGATACTTCCAGAGCAAACCCTCCCATTCCCACAGCAGCATGCCTGCCTCTCATAGGTGACTTGCTTGCTTGGGCTCACTCTTTTTCTTTCTCACACACACACTCACAAATATACACAGTCTCTGACTTTAGGAGTTCTTGGGTATAAATGTTTTAGGATTACTGAAGAATCCCTATTACTGCCTTTGTCATGACTTTTTCCTTTCTTATCCACAAGGAGCTAATGGACTAATTTTCTAGATTGTTACATAAACATTTTGAAGTATCCAATTCAAACCAGTGAGCGTTCCATCCTTTTGCCCTTATGTACCTATAGCCAAAATGGAGTAAAAACTTTGTCTTATGTAATTTACAATCTTTTATTTAACTTTAAAAGAAGAAGAACAATCTCCAAAAGGATAGTAATTTTGTCTTTGTGGAAAAAATGTCCAGGTATTTATTTTTTGTTTTATGTATTACAGGAAGGAAAAACTCCTCGGCAATGTTTGAAGGAAGGAAACTGCCAAGCTTTAAAATATTCATTCTTTGAATGTAAAAGGTCAATGGTAAGTGTTTAAATACTTTAAAAGTTTATGCTTTCAACCTCTTAGAGGATTTTTAATCTCAGAATGAGTATGTGCTACTTTTGTCACGTCCCCCTTTTCTCAGTTGCTATTTTTCTAAAAATACATTTAGATTTAACTTAAAACAAAACCTAAGTAGAACATTAAGTTTGCTAGAAGGCGGCATAGATTGAGTGTAGTTCAAAGCAAAAAAAAAAAAAAAAAGTCGTTTGGATGAAGAGTGAAAAGTCGTTTGGATGAAGAGTGAACCACTCTTGACAAGAACATCCATGCTGCTCACTGTCAGCGAGGCTTCTTGTTATGAAGGCCAGCTGGATCCTCTTCCTGGCCGCTCTGACCACTACTGCTTTACTTTTTCTGAAGACTAGTTTACTTCTCTCGTGTAGTGATCTCCGTTACCAAAGTTGTGCTTAGTACATTATATTGTACAACGTTTAAATGTACATTTAATTTCAGCTGGATACCAGATCACGATTCAGAGGAAGAAAAGGCTACTGATGCCATGATGTAGAGACCAAGATGAAAACAACAAAGGATTTTCTCTGGTCATTAATGCAGAGAAGTCAAAAAGGAAACATGCTGTGTGCTCTCTCTGCTCATTTCATTGGGTTTGTTCCCTCCATGGGAAATGGGACGTGGATAAGTTCTGGTTTTGAATAAGTATAAATATGGATTTTCTTGCCCTTAGGTTTTAGAGGAATGAAAAAGTTTAACTGAACAATTATGGACACAAAATAAATATGTCTTGCAAATTGTTAGAACGTTCGTAGCAAGCACAAAGAATGGAAAGATTATTTTCAAACTTGACTCTTTAATCCATTGACAGTTTGCACATCATTTGTGAATATTATGAAGATCATGTACCTGACTAATATAATCAGTAACATGGAGGCTGGGGAGAAAATGTCTTCAGAAAAGTTTAAGCTGAAACTTTCTTTATGCAGTCTGTCCTACCTAATTTATAAATAAATTGTGTTTGATTCCTTGGAAAAGAAATGCCTCACTTTCAATGAGTTGCTGAAGTTGCTGTTACGTGCCGAGTCCATTCTGATTCATAGTGACCTTGTATAGGAGTTCTGGTGTGGTACTGTAGGATAAGCACTAGACTGCTGACCACAAGGTTGTTGGTTCATACCCACGAGCAGTTCCTCAGAAACCCTATACATAGTCGCTATGGATTATAACCAAGTTGATAGTACTTAACACTATTACAGGGTGGCTCCGTAGGTAGGCAGTAGACTGGGAATCACAAAGTTGATGGTTTGAGCTTCCCAACCATTCCAAGGGATAAAGATGATGATTTCTGCGCAAGCAAAGATTTAAAAGCCTGGGAAACCCTCTATAGTGTCACAAAGTTGGAACCAACTCGACACCACTCATTAACAACCATATTAAATCTGTCTTCATATACTAATTGGCCATTTGTGTGTGTTTGGAGACGTGTCTATTCATATCCTTTGTCCATGTTTCAATTGAGTTGCCTTTTCATTTCCCTTTTTATTATCAAATTGTAACACTTTTTAATAGTAGATGCAGCTCCTTAAAGGATTTATGACTGGCTTATATTTCCCCACAATGTCTTTTTAAAAATATTTTATTGTGAATTATGTCATAGTTTACAAGAGAGAACATTAGCTTCACATTCATCCTATCATATATCGTTTCATTGCCATGGTTACCATCCCCTCCATGCATCATCAACCAACCAAAGGGTATATACCCTGCAAGCCTGCTCCCTGGTTGTCAGCACACAGCCCCTCTCCCTCTCTGTGTCTAAAGTCCCCAGCCGCTCAATCTCTAAATCTCTCCACGTCATCATCTCTGCCTCCATCTTTGGTGTCACTGCTTCTCTAGGTAGGGTGTCACACTCCGCTTTTCTTCCTTGATGGTTCCAGGGACCTCCATTCCTGGACTGAAAAGTCAGTTTCCTTCTTTTGCTACAAAATGTCCACCTTTACATTTCCAATCCTCACAATCAGTCCTGATAACAATTATTCACTATTGTATCACAAGAGACTTA